GGGGGGGGGGTGGATCGGGAAAGGTCCTCGAGTCGGGATCTGAACTCGGGAGGATGCCCTTAGTGCAAATTTGATGACATTTTCAAATCTAAATTAGCAAATCTCAAAATGAATATAAATTTTTCATACTGTACATTATAATGGCTATCTGCCATGGAGACAATAATTATCAGCTTATCAGTATCAGCCTGAATTTTAATTTTGGTTAATAAACAAGTTAGGACAAAACTCAGATTTACATGTAAAGGAACGCGTGATAAGGACCAGGGTTACTATAGTAACTTAGTTAAACAAAAGCTAAAGTTAACTAAAACCATAAAAAACGAGTTTCTTGAAATAAAATTGAAAAAACATAAACTCGTTTTATTTCAGCTAGTTTTTGTTTAACTTGATATATTAAAATAACTACTGTAAATTTAAAACCGAAATAAAATTACCAAAAAGTATATAGTAGTGCTGTCAAACAATTAATCGCGATTAATTGCGTCCAAAATAAAAGTTTTCGTTTGCATAATATGTGTATACTGTGTATATTTCTTATGTATATATAAATACAAACACATGCGTGTATATATTTCAGAAAAATATGTTGTTTATATATTAAATATATTTATATAGAATATAAAATATATGAATATAAATATATAAATGTATATACATGTAAATATTTTCAAAATATATACTGTATGTGTGTGTATTTATATATACACAATAAATATGCACAGTACACATACATATATTATGTAAACAAAAACTTTTTTTGGATGCGATTAATCGCGATTAATCGTTTGACAGCACTAGTATATAGACATTTAAAAAAATAAGTAAAAATACAAAAACACATAACAAAATTCCTAAAAATTTAACCAAAATTAAAATGACAACAGAAAATATTAAAATGAAAATATTAACAAAAAATTAAGTGAAATAAAAATAATAGTATCTCCATGCTGGTTAGGAAACAGTGTTGTGCTATTATGTCATGGATGCGCCGATATTAAAATTCTAGCTGTGTTATTAAAGATGAGCTTTAAAGAGTGTTAGATTACAGCAAAGATAATTAAAAACTGAGGAAATGTGCAAGCATAAACATATTGAATATATTGAATTTGAATAATCTATTTAAAAAGCTCTAAATAGATTTGATATATTGTGCATCCTCACTTATTATTTAATGTTCTGGTGTGATTTATGTAATGTTCTATCAATTAAAAAAAATGCGTATAATCAAATCTTAGAGCATGTTTGTATTAAACTGTATCTTCTACCTTTAATTCCAGTGTAAATCAGAACGCAGCTGTCTGGCTTCACCTCAGCACTGGAGGGAGAAGCAGCTGAGCACGACCGTCAGTGAGGAAACTCTGAATGGCAAAGGCTCCAGTGGCTTTGGGGTCAAATCCCTGGAGCAGCACATGGCCAATCTAACATTCCTGGAGAGCAAATAGTTCTGAAAACCAAAGGCGCTTTTGCCTGTTCTCGCGCACACAGTGCATGGCAATGCACTCGCCCACAACGTGCCATTCTTTGTGCTTCTGCCCATTCGCTTTGTGGTGTATGATAGCGTTAGCATTACCAGCCTCATTCCAGATACCGAAAAATATTGAAGAAAAAAAAAACCCTTCATTGCATGTGTTCAAGTCATTATGTGACCCTTTCAAGTGTAATGGCTGGTAAATAAGCTACCGTTTTAACCGAATATTCAGCTGCATTTCTCGTGATTAGCCAACATTGAGGTGTACATGATAAAAGTTTTGTTGCAAAAAAAAAAAAAAAACTCTGCACACTGTATTTAACATAACTGCCTCATGTACAAGTTGATGCCAAATATATCCAGTTTTAATCATCTTCCTACACTGGTTTCGCCACAGGGCAGTCTGCTCAGTGCTTTGTAAGACACCGTTTCAGTGACTTTGGATATTAGTATGAAAAAGTTTAAAGAGTGTTTACAGCAGGGAACGTTACTTTCCAAAGTGGCATTTCTGAAGGATGATCATGAAAAAGACAGTTCCTTTTAAAGGGATAGTTCACCTAAAAATGAAAATTGTTAACGTTTTCTACCCTCATGTCATTCCAAACCAGTATGACTTATGTGAAACACAAAAATAAGTGATTTTTGAAGTCTCAAAAGACTTGAAACATATTTCAAAACATCATCTTTTATGTTCCACAGAAGATCATACAGGTTTGGAACGACATGAGGGCAAGTACATAAAGACAGAATTTTCAGGCGAACTGGCCCTTTAAATGTACTTGCGTGGGAGTGACAGCCTTGTAATAGTATTGACTGCCTTGTAGGTCACTGTGATTTGTATTTTTACTTCAGTCCTAACAATGTAAGTCAAGCTTTGGTACATTAACCTAAAAGGTTAGAGACGGTATATAAATCAATAGCTTAGGCTGTTGTGTACTGAAATTTTTAGTACGGCACACAGATTAAAAGGCTGTTCTAGTTGATACTCTGCTAAAATTTTCCTCTGATTTATACTTCACTCAGTCAAACCATAAGCTTTAGAGATGATTGTGCAGCTATGACCTTGAGTTGTATTAGTGTTGGACCATTGAATGATTGTGAAATCAGAAAAAAAAATCTAAATATATGTTATTTTTTCTTAAATATTTATGTTTGAGTGATTTATTTATGCACAAAACATTTCTTATTCAATTTTATACATTCCGCCAAACTAAGGCCATTCAAGCAGACTATTGAAACATACTCATGATCAAATACATATTATCTTCAATCAATACATTTATTAAAAGCACGTACTAACATCAAAACTATTGAAATTCTCTGTTGGTTATACGTTCAACTATATTGAAAATACAAGTTTACATACACCACTGTGTATGTAAGTTTCAGGTCCATGAGGTTTTTGTTATGAAATGTTTTGTAAATGTATGTACATTTTTATCTGAACAATCTGTCTGGGAAAAGTGACAATGTTGAGATTGCTGTTAATTGTTTTGAGAGCACTGACCTTAGTTTGTGTAAAAGAAATTGGCTGAATAAAAACAAACATATAAGAGCCAGTTGAATACACTCAGAAGGGAGCAGTTCCTTTATTTAGCATTAACTTAAACAATAATGATCTCCAAAAAGTTAGGGCCATAAGCAGTTTTATAGTAACCAGAAGGGAAATAATGTGTCTGTGAGGACACAGACCTGTTAAGCTTAGGCTGTTGTGTACTGACATTTTTAGTACGGCACACAGATTAAAAGGCTGTTCTAGTTGATACTCTGCTAAAATTTTCCTCTGATTTGTACTTCACTCAGTCAAACCATAAGCTTTAGAGATGATTGTGCAGCTATGACCTTGAGTTGTATTAGTGTTGGACCATTGAATGATTGTGAAATCAGAAAAAAAAATCTAAATATATGTTATTTTTTCTTAAATATTTATGTTTGAGTGATTTATTTATGCACAAAACATTTCTTATTCAATTTTATACATTCCGCCAAACTAAGGCCATTCAAGCAGACTATTGAAACATACTCATGATCAAATACATATCTTCAATCAATACATTTATTAAAAGCACGTACTAACATCAAAACTATTGAAATTCTCTGTTGGTTATACGTTCAACTATATTGAAAATACAAGTTTACATACACCACTGTGTATGTAAGTTTCAAGTCCATGAGGTTTTTGTTATGAAATGTTTTGTAAATGTATGTACATTTTTATCTGAACAATCTGTCTGGGAAAAGTGACAATGTTGAGATTGCTGTTAATTGTTTTGAGAGCACTGACCTTAGTTTGTGTAAAAGAAATTGGCTGAATAAAAACAAACATATAAGAGCCAGTTGAATACACTCAGAAGGGAGCAGTTCCTTTATTTAGCATTAACTTAAACAATAATGATCTCCAAAAAGTTAGGGCCATAAGCAGTTTTATAGTAACCAGAAGGGAAATAATGTGTCTGTGAGGACACAGACCTGTTACTTCTCAAATTAAACCAGTTCTTAATGAAACTATAAACTAAACACTAAACAATACCCATGACACTGGCATCGTTATGTATCTCATGAATAGTGGTCCAACAAAATGCACTCCAGTGAAATCCAAGACTGCTCTGGATCCAGCAGACAAGTCTTCATTCCTTCAGATTTTCTCAAGGTGTTTTTTGAAATGCAAGTGGCACACATTCATGATGCCATTGACGTTTCCACCTGCTTGAAGTAATTATTCTTCAAAGCAGACTCAGCAGTTTCAAAGTGCAAGTTGATCTCAGCAAGGCTCTTCTTGTTGGTTTCTTTTTGTCAGAACCTCCTCATATCGTTCTCTGGTCAGAAGGCCTTCAGTGACACTCTTACTCTCTTCAAATTTAGGTAATATAACTGCAATGTATCCCTCTGTGGAAGGCTGTGCCAAAAAAGAACACAATTCACACATATGGTCTTAAATTTGTAAAAGGTTAAAGATTTTCCATTTCATTTTTTTTAAAGCAGTATTGGTGGTAACCTTTTCCAATAACAGATCTGGCTTGTTCAAAATGGCTTCATTCACTTCTAGGAGACGTCCTCTGATACAGCTGGGAAAATATGAGTTGAACTGACATCATTTTAAGATGATAGAAATTCAATGTGAAGTTTATCAAGTGACAGTCTGTGTAACTGACCTGAATATGGTGTATTCCTGTTCATCTGTACACGTTATTCTACACAGTGGTGCAAACTCTGTCAGGAACTGACCACCCTGCAGAATAAATGATATTTACTGATAATGTTCAGAGAAAGTGTAAATTAAGATATAAAAGTAATTATCACAATTACTGTGTTGATTGTGTGCGTTTACAGTATTAAAATCATTAAGGACAAAGGTACTCACTCGCTTTGACTTTCCAGACACCTTGTTCTTCAGACGGCTGCATCCATCGCTGATCTGATAGTTTATGTTTTTGATTTTTCGTCCATTCTGAAGGATAGGATGAGACTCTGCAAGTGTGATGACGCATATCCTGATGAGAAGAAAACAGAGTTAGGTTTTCACAGCAAAGGTACCTTTAGAGGGGTGTTTCTCCAACTATGAACACTTATGACCCTGTGGACTTTCAGTAAATAAAGAAGAATGGACATATGGACATTCCCTGCATCATGAAACTTTCCAACATGTTGTGATTTCAATCTATATCTCAGAATATGTATTCAGTTGATTGTGTAGCAGCCGCAATTTCCAAATAATGTTTATAAACAATGTCATACAATAAATATAAACAGTTGGTTCAGATCATCGTGGTTTAAAATATGTAATAATATATTTATAGTATTAAAGTTTGGATCTGAGATTTATGTACAGATTAAAATCTATGCATAAAAAAACATCTGAATCTGAGGTGTATAAAATATTAAAAGTGTTCAAGAGAGTTATCATATTCATCAACAAAAAAGAAAAACAAACAAACGTTGCTATCCGCTAGTTTAAATAAAAATAAACTTAGTAAAAGTGTACAGTACGTACTTGAAGAAACACTAAGAAAATTGCACAGTGAAGAGAATATATTTACCTGTTGGAGTGCTGTAGAATGCAGTGATCCTCACATGCTTTTCCTTTCAGATCTACAGAAGCATTTACACCAACACAGCAATTAATCATCACATCTTTAAAAAGTATATATTAAAAAAAACGCTTTGGGACGCTAATTTGAACATACATTGAGCTACAGTAAAAACAACTGACAAGAGCAGACAAAACAGAAATCAGAACATATTACCAGTTTTATACCAGCGGGTGAAATAACGATCGATTACTGATGGGGCTTTCTTTTCACTATCTTCCATGTCAGCATCCACCACAGCAATTAAATTAAAAAAGAAAAAAATATTACAGAGGCTGATACTGTCTGATCATAACTAAACAGTGATGTTTGAAGCCGGAAGACAAATCAAGTCACACAAAAAATGTCCGCTCTGAATTTACATCCGGTTATACTAATTTGTGGTATCTGCTGGTGTTTTGCATAACTTACTATGTCTTGCAAAATTCCTTTACCTGATAATAAATGCAAACGAATTGTTATGCAATCCAATTCAGCTATATTTTTAGAGAAACGTATTTTAAATAACTCTGTCAGGAACTACTATAGTGGCATATTCTCCCGGTTCGTTTTAATTGTAACACACAGCAGCGGTGAAGATGGCAGCGCCTGTAATGGACACATGTCATGTCTCTTGTTGTGCTAATCACACTCCTAATGTTGTGTCGTGGGGCAGAGGGGGTCTCATTGCCTTTGGGACATGTAATTCAGTTGCCCTTTATAACCCACAGGTACTGATTGTATGATTGTTCGCTTGATTTAGTTGAGGTGATGCTGATGCTCTGTGGTTTAATTACACTTACATTATACAGTTACATATGTTCCGATTCTTTAATGCAGTGATGTGCAAACTGTAAACTCAAACCTAAGTTTAGAGTATACATTCTGATGAAGTAATTTCATAGTAAATGTCTTTAGTGTTTGATAAACTGTCAAATAAGATGACTGTGAAATTGTGACAGGTTTGTCTCATCTAAATTTGGTTTATTAATTGTTATCAGGAAATAAGGATTGTTGAGGTGCTGAATAAACATACTGGAAGAGTGAATGCTGTCCAGTGGGTTCATAAACACGACTGCAGTAAGCCTTTTACCGTCATTAATAAATGTCAAATAGGCTGTTTACAGATATTTCAGAAAAAGTGTGAAATCTTTTACTTCATGCATAGACATTATTCAGTTGTCTGTCACTTTCAGACACAATAAAAACAAAGGAACTTGTAGAAACGTAAGCTGTCTGTTTCTGCAGGTCCGGAAACCCAGCTGGTATCTGGTGGATCGGATAATAATGTTGTTGTCTGGGAGAAGCAGGATGGGAAGGTATGTGTGTACAATAAATATGGACACTTATGCTGACAACATAATTGGGTCTTTCTGTTATGCAATACATTGGATAAAATATTAAATAAATCAACAGCTATTAAAGATGGATTTGTTTTTATCATAAATATCAAGGTGATTTTTTTTTTTTTAGTCAGGACTTTATATCACTTTCCACCCGAGTTTCAATATACCTTTCCATCTTTTGGAATATCTTTTGAATAACAAATCCCTTATGTTAAGAAAACCCTTAGTGATAACACTCTTACAGTTATAACAAAATGTAACTAATTGTTTTCTTAACTTAATAGTCTTGTTGCAATTTGCCCAGATTCTCAATTGCATAGTCCTCCAGGAAATGTCATTATTTCTGGTGGGAAAACAACAGCACAAACAGTTTTAGGACTGGATTTGAAAAATCATCAGATTTTTTTTGTCACACTCTAAACCAGGGTTCCTCAAATCTTGCCCTGGAGGGCCAATGCGCTACAGAATTTAGCTCCAACCCTGATCAAACTCACCTACCTGTGATTTTCTAATGACCCTGAAGACATTGATTAGCATGCTCAGGTGTGTTTGATTAGGGTTAAAGCTAAACTCTGCAGGAAAGTGGATCTCGTGGGCCAGATTTGAGGAACCCTGCTCTAAACCGTCCTGTTTACTAAAATTACAGAAATCAGCATGATAAAAGCCCAAAAGGAACTGCAGAACAGGAATGACCCAGCTTTGTCAGTTATGAAGTTCAAATTTGCGATCTTCTGTTATAATTGTCTGTAAATGGATAATCACAAAAGTTAAAAATGAGTTATGTTTGTCCATCTTCTGCTGCAGTTCACAGCATGTGCAGTGTGTTCGGGACACTCAGGGCCCGTGTGTGCAGTGGATGCCATGTCTCTGTCCTCCTCTCAATTACTGGTGGCCTCAGCATCTTCTGACTCCTCTGTTAAACTCTGGACGTGCAGCTCTGATACAGGTAAGATAGGGAGTATGTTCATCATAAAAGTGCAGATTTAAAATACTCAGTCATGCAAGCTTTTAAAGACTTTTCAAATTCTACAAGCCTGACATCTGCTGGTTGGTTCTTGTAAATGAATAGTAGTGCTTAAAATTGGAGTTCAGTGCATATACAGTAGTTCAAAATCAGTTTATTTGTCATCACAGAGATACAGTAGAATTTGCCTTGGATGTCAGCAACCAAGAACAACAGAATGTAAATAGTACAACAAATAGAAATATCCCAAATATGTGTATATAATATGCACTACTGTACTCAAATGTTTGGAAGTAAGATTTTTTTTAATTCAGCAAGGATACATTAAATTCACAGTAAAGACATTTTATAATGTTACTAAAGTTCTGTTCTTTTAACTTTTTATTCATTAAAGAATCCTGAAAAAATGTATCAAAGTTTCCACAAAAATATTTAGCTGCACAGCTGTATTCAATAATAAGAAATGTTTCTTAAGCACCAGAATGATTTCTGAAGGATCATGAGACACTGAAGACCGGATATATTTGTATATATTTAAAGACAAGATGTCCCATTTTGGTGTCCGCATCAAATTAAATTTACAAAAGTGATTTTATATATATCAAAAGCATATTAAATGCAAGTAAAGTGTCTGAAATGATTTAAATAACTTTTGTAAAAAATAAAATGTCAAAATAGGGGTGAAATAATGTTCCATCATCATTCAGTGTAACATATATTTTTCTAAAAATAAAACAACATATTCTGACCTTTATGTAATAAAATGTATTAAAGAATACTTCATCATACTAAATTTTATTATTCAAATGATTAAAATCTTCTTGCTGACAGATGAGTAAAACCCCTAATTGTTTGAAGGATTATGGCAATGATTTGAAATGATAATTAATTAGTTTTTGAGGGCTGCACTGATCCATAAATAGAGTTTTTTTTAATGTCATCTAATGATTCTTGTTCTAAATACACCTGACAAGATTTTTTTGGTATATGAATTTATTACACTAAATGACTTTTTTCTGTATATGATAGTTTTGTAATTTTTTACTCAGAAAAAGTCAAATTAAACAGGACAAAATCTAAAGTGGAATTAAACTTTGTTTTGATGCTTGAAAAACCTTTGTCGTCTTTGACCCCTGTATCTTATATATGTACTGTTTACTTGCCATGCGTTTATTGGTGGCTAGCTTAAGCTCTTCATCAAAACAACAATACTAGACGGACAAATCAGCCATCTAACGCTGAGATTTTAACGCCGCGTTAACGCTGCGTTAAAATTAGTTTAAACTCTAATCCCATGTATCTCCCTAAAGACCAATTAGAAACTATACTCTAAGTAAAAGCACAGACATCATTTGATTGTTCCTACTGCTTTCTTTCTGATGTCCATACTTACTGCTCAGAAAGAGAGTAGTATTTCATTAAAAAGTGGTGCGTGAAAGCAATATACAGTATGGTAAATGCAATATTTCTGTATTGTTTTGACAAACTCTTGAGTCACACAATGATGAGTTGCATCATTCCTCTAACATTAAAGTGACAGTAATCTAATGAGCTGTCTGCCAGCACGCAGAAACCAGCTTCTTTTGAGTGCATTTATTTTTTAAATTAGCACAGGAGATGATTTCTGGTTTTCAGGGTAATTGTTCTAATATCGATATATATTTTGGATTAATAATAGTCTAATTTAAAATAATAAGTTATTTTTTTAATAAGAATTCATCATGAGTTGGACAGGTTCATTTTCATGTGAGGTGTTTCTGTTCTCTTCATTAGTTGAATGCCTGCAGACCGTATCTTTTGGGAGCGGGTTCATGATGGATGTCTCCTTGGCGCTGTTGCCAGGCAGCAGAGGTAAGCTGCGCCCGCTGCTCCATGTTGATTTGCTGTATTGTCCAGCCCTATCATGTTAAAATCTCATTCTGTGCTTTAAATATGTCCTGGGGCGACGTTAGCCTGCCTCTTACATTATTCACGTCTGGACTGCAGCTGTATTTTGCTTCTAGATGCCGTGAATAGACTTAGTGACTTGTCTGCCTGGTGTATTGGTGTGAATGAGGAGGATAATTACATCTCTTGCAGTTCCAGTACTGGCCTGTGGGGGAGATGACAGCAGAGTTCATCTGTATGTGCAGCTCAATGGCCAGGTAAGACTGTCAGGTGACTTTGCTTTATATTAATGCTCTTCATATTTTGTGTATCATGTGGGTGTGTTTAGTTTCAGAGGTTTCTGACTCTGACAGGACATGAGGATTGGGTCCGATGTGTGGAGTGGGCCACTAAAGGTAAGAATAAATGTGCTTAAGAAGCATTATATTTAGAGGAATTAAAATGAAGCGTGTTTTAGGACACCATGAAAACTAAATTTGACCTTTGTAGCCTTTAGTCCTTATTGTAATCTATTCCAAATTTTGGTGTCAGTTTTTTTTTTAAGAAATTAATATTTTAAATGCATTTAATTGATTGAAAATATCAGTAGCAAAATGTATAATGTTACACAAATTTCTATTTGAAATAAATTCTGTTATTTTGAATTTTATATTAATTGAAGAATCCTGAAAAAATAAAACATGGTTTCCACAAAAATATTAAGCAGCGCAACTTTTGAAATTTGACATTTGAAAATTCAGCTTTGCTACCACAGGAATAAATAAATTGTAATAATTAGCAATATTACTGTTTTTTACTGTATTTGTATTTAAATAAATTCAGCCTTGGTAAACGTAAGAGACTTTTTAATAAATTGGCAGATAAACACACACACACACACACACACATATATGATGTGCATATGTTTTCATGAATTTTGGCATAAGAGTTGAAGTCAAAGACCCATTTAATACATAAGATACAGTACTGGCAGTGAAATAGTCCAGGGATGTAAAATGCACCATCTTAAAGAGCCAGTATTGTTGTTTTCACTCTCACATTCTTTTATAATGCATGAAACAGGCAATTGCTGCCAACTAAAGGCACTGTAACTGAAATATACAAGCGGGAAAGCCTCACATAATACTTTTTTTTTGACTGCTTGTTGGAT